GCAGCTGGGATTACAGGCATGTGCCACCACACCTGCCTAATTTTGTATTTTTAGTAGAGACATTGGTCAGGCTGGTGTCGAACTCCCCATCTCAGGATCTAACTGCCTCAGCCTCCGAAAGTGCTAGGATTACAGGTGTGAGCCACTGCACCGGCCTTCCTAAGATTCTTTAAGACTTTTTTTTACAGATGTAAATTCAGAAGCCAGCTAATACATTGAAGAAAGGATGAGCAGACTCGCTAAGGATGAGAAATTCAGAAACTTAGGCTCTTGGTCACCTCAGGAGGTCACCAAGAGATATTTTGTATCTTCCTGCCCTATCAGCTCTTGTGGATCAATGTTTTAAAACTGTAGACAAAGTTAATTCTTCAAGCCAAGTCCTAGAAAGAGAACAAAGGAGAGAGAGTACACAAAGGAGATTTCTGTCCCTACATATCATAATTTCTATACTGTTAGTTAACTCCTCTTTATCAGGAGGGATATGAGCTGAAAGAGAAAAACAATATTTAAAAGTTCTATATTTTTTAGTAATTTTACGATGGAAGTACTGGAATATTTTCCATAGGGATCAGCGAATAGATGGATTTCTTGATATTTTTCTGTTCCTTCCTAAATTCTGAGCAACTCCCAGACACTGTGATTGTAGGGAGTTTTGTTATATAAGGAAAAGAAAGATTGTGTATTAGAAGAAGTGCATTTTAGTGAATTATTTTGGAGTTCAAGGTTTAAATGCCATTCTCTAAAAATCTCGAATTGTGCATAGTACAGGTGTTATTTTACCATCTTTACATGTTACATACCCATTATGAAATTCCAGTACAGGTAATACAATTAGACCATTATCAATTCGGGTTAACAATTATTTGGCAAATTCATCTTACCAAGTCATTTTTACCCTTCATCAGAAGAAATATACGAATTAATATTTCAGGAATAGTTGACATTGCTAGCATATTGCGATTTGGTTCCTGGTTTGGCGAGATTTGGTATTTCTAGTCCTGAGTGCTAGCCTACCACGCAACAGAACTGCAACCCCGGTTCTAGGATACTTGGGCAAATATATATTAATTAGTCATATATTTTTTACCGATATTGTCATGTCCTTTCTCTTGAAATTAACACATTCTACCTTCCTGAGGGCTAAAGAAAAAGTGCCACTGAACCACCCAGGATGGAACAATTGTCACACACACACACACACACACACACACACACGTGCGCGCGCGCGAAGGTGTAGCTTGAAGCGTCTGCTATCAGCCTTTCCAGTCTTTCCAAGCATCTCAGGCTGAAAGCAAGCGGAAGTGATTGAGAAATCCCTCCAGGGACTGGTGCTTCCCCCAGGGATCTACAACTTTGCACTCCATTCCCCCTTCCCCTCCCATCTCTAAATCCCCGGGTAGTCTGGGGAGCCGGAGTCCCCGCCCCTTCTCACTGCCAAAGCTCATTCTAAACCTTTTTGGGGGGGCAGGCACCCAGAGAATGCTATGGACCCCACTGTGAATGGTGACAGAAATTGGTGGAAAGCACAGCTTAAACATTTTGCGAAATTTTCAAGAGACCACGTATTCGAAACACATTCTGACCTGCAGGATTAAGAACCCCATTTCTTAAACTCTTGATTTGGGGCGATTAAATCGAGAGTGGAGCTCAGGTGCCAAATCTTCTTCCGAGTGAAAACGTGTAGAAGGGAAGGTGCTCCTGCGCTGGGACACTTTCACTTGTAAGAAACCAGAAGAAGGGGACTGGTGGCAAGAGATGGGGACAGAAGAGAAAGGAAAGGAAAAGGAGAAATGGGAGAAACAGAGAGGGACCTGGTGGGATGGGAGAAGACAGACCTCACCGGGAAAAAGGGGAGAGGGGACAGAGTCCGAGAGGCACAGCAGCAGAGAGACCAGGGGGAGAAGAAGAAAGAGACTCGGAAGGGAAGAGAGAGGAGAGGAGAGGAGAGGAACTAGACGAGAGGGGAAGTGGCTGCACGCGCGCCAGGAAAGGGAGAAAACTTTCCGTGCTTTCCCTCCCCGGGGCAGGGAGTCTCAGAAAACCCCACTTCGGCGAGGTGGCGGGGACCACGACCAGCTGCCCGGCGCTGGCCAAGCCTCTGGCCTCCGCCTCTTGCAACCCGCAGGGCCTCCGGCTGCGAGTCCCTCACGGGCCGGCCGAGGAGGGGACTTGGTCTGGAAGGAGGCGGTCCCCGTTTGCCTCTCTTTCTCCTCCCCTCTCCTCCTCTTAGAGGCGTGCACCGGGGGCATTTGAGAGGCTGTGGACCCGCGGCCCCCCCGCCTCCGCCCCCCCAGCCCCCCATTCAAGAAGCAGCCCCGCTATCCCGGCCAGCACAGGGCGCCCGGCGCGCCTCGGAGCGCACGTTCCTCGCCTTCTCCTGCCCGCTCGCTGGACATTATGCGGCCAAGCAGCCGAGCCCCAGTCCTCCTCCTCCTCCTGCTTCTCCGGCTCCTCCTGCGGCCCGAGCAGCTCAGCTCTCGGCAGGCGGCGGCGTTGCTCAGCCGAGCGCAGACGGGACCCTCGCAGCGAGACCTCAGCGACTCCTAAAGTCAAAAGTTGGCGGCGGGCGCCGGGCTCCGCGCGCTCTCCACGGCCGCTGCCTCGCGTCGCTGCTGCAGCCAAGGAGGGCAGGAGGGAGGGGGTGGGAGCAGCGGGGGGAGGGGTGTAGAGCACCATGCAGTTTGTATCTTGGGCCACACTGCTAACGCTCCTGGTGCGGGACCTGGCCGAGATGGGGAGCCCAGACGCCGCGGCGGCCGTGCGCAAGGACAGGCTGCACCCAAGGCAAGGTAACGAGGCTCCGGCCCTGGCTTCGGCCCCCGGGACCCTGCCGCCCCTGTCGCTGCCTCCCGGTCCTAGCTCCCCGGAAGAGGCACAGCGCAGCTAAGGCCTCTCTCCTTTTCCTAGAAAGAATCATCTCCAGCTTTGCAGCCTCTCCCTTCTTTGGGTCATCCCCAACCAATTGCTAGAGAGGGACACTATGGAAAAGATTTTAGGCAACCCCCCCATCTTGCTGTTAGCCGGATATTTCCCGGTCCCCACTCCCATGCCGCAAACTAAAGTAACTTAGTAATTGGGGGCACCAGAGAGCATCATGTTTTATTTTATTCAGGTTATTTATCAATATCTGAAATCACATATATTTTGACTTGTTCATTGTCTGGCTGGGAATAGTGTATCCTCAGCACCTGGCACAGGTCCTGTTACTGGCACACAGTAGGTGCTTAGCAAATATTTGTCCACTGATAAAGGGTGAAGGGATTGACTCGAATGGGCTGGAAAATAAGGTCAGGACAAAGTCCCCGCCTTCATTTGAAATTAAAGCTTGGGGAAAAATGAATTATTGGTTCATATACCTCTGCTTCTCTCCGCAGTGAAATTATTAGAGACCCTGAGCGAATACGAAATCGTGTCTCCCATCCGAGTGAACGCTCTCGGAGAACCCTTTCCCACGAACGTGCACTTCAAAAGAAGGCGACGGAGCATTAACTCTGCCACTGACCCCTGGCCTGCCTTCGCCTCCTCCTCTTCCTCCTCTACCTCCTCCCATGCGCATTACCGCCTCTCCGCCTTTGGCCAGCAGTTTCTATTTAATCTCACCGCAAATGCCGGATTTATCGCTCCACTGTTCACTGTCACCCTCCTCGGGACGCCCGGGGTGAACCAGACCAAGTTTTATTCCGAAGAGGAAACGGAACTCAAGCACTGTTTCTACAAAGGCTATGTCAATACCAAGTCCGAGCACACGGCCGTCATCAGCCTCTGCTCAGGAATGGTAAGTGGGCGCGCGCCACCTCCTCTCCCCTTCCGCCTCCTCGCCCGCTTCTGGAAGACTTAATTGCCCTCTAAGCCTAGAGACCCTCACTGTGGCGAGACGAGGCTCCTGCGTTATGTATCAGTTAGAAACTCGTATGGTTTGGTTAGCTAGCTCTGTGCGTGCGCGTACACTGGCACGGAGAGCACACACCCGCCCCCAGGGGCTTCTGGATGTTTTAGAGCTTTCTGGAGTTTGGACTCGATTCAGCGGCGCATTGCCCAACGCTGCGAGGCGGCCTGGAAGTCAGTTTCCAAACTCGGAGAAAGTTTCTGGAGTCGAGGTTCCTTGCAGCAAACTTGGCCACCCCGGAGCGAAGCAGCTGAGATCAGGGCGGACCAGACTCTTTATTGGTGTGCCTTGCATCGGGAATGTGGGGCTGAGGACCCCCAGCCCAAGACACAGGGAATTCCTTCTGTGTGTGTTGTGGAAGGCGGTGCGTAATCTAGAGTCCCCGCTTTCTCTAAGGGCCTTTATTCACGCGCCAAGAACCCTGAGGCTGAACTGGATTGACAGAGAGCAGGTCCTGTCCCAGGAACGGAAGGGTGGGCCGAGGGCTCTGGGGGCGGGGGGAGAAGGCGGAGCCTACTCCGGACGCTTTGAATTGGGGTGGAACTGAGAGTGGGGGTGCAGCACAGTCCGACTCTGCACCCTACTGGCGGGGTGGCCAGGAAAAGCGGAATAGTGGGAGACCGCCTGGAGAGGCTGTCCGGACGTGATTTCGATTCCTCTGGGGTTTCTAACACTCATGGGTTCCAGGGAGTAGAGAGAGGGAGCCTGCGGCTCAGGTTTCCCTAGGGACCAAGGCAGGGCGGGGAGGCCACCTTCTTGCGCTGCCAAATACGCATTTAGCAAGGAATCGTTGGTTCCCCCGACTCCCTGCCGACCCCCGCGTGTGCCCTCCAGTGGGTCTTACAAGGCATCTCTCCCCCACTTTTCCACGACATTTGAGGACTCGCTGCTGTACCGTTCTGGCCCAAGCGAGGGTAGTCCTTGACTTTCCCAAAAGGCATGCGTTTCTGCTACGCGCGTGTGACGCAGAAACTTTCCCGGGTCAGTCTCTCCCGGCGCCTGGCGCCCTAAGCGCAATGGGGTCTTAGGCACTGTTCCCGGTGATGCCTTTACTCTTCCCGGAGCCCCCACAGTCCCTCCCTCCCTTTTTCTAAGTGCGGCTTTGGATACTCACCCCCGGACACTGGGCTGCTCCCTCCGTGCGCTGTCGTTCGTGGGTCTTCAAGTTCCCAAGCGCATCCTTCTCTGCCTCGCAATGGAAGGATCCGGTGGGGAGGGTGGCAAGCTTGAAGCCTGGGAGGGGGTAGTTCTAGGAATTCCTGCTGGGATTCTAGGAAAGGGATAAATCCCTTTAGCCCCCAGCAAAGCGCCCGGAGCCCTGGCGCCCGAAGTGCGATGTCGGGATTGTTTGGGGGTGGGCGGAGACGGCAGCTTGGCGAAGTGGGAGGGGGTGCTGCGGTGAGTCATCGCTGCCCCAGCACCTAGGGCAAAAAGCTCAGGAATCCTTCGGGTCTTTGAAAGGCTAAGGCCGGAGTAGGCAGAAGTCTGCAGTCTGAGCCCATAATCTGGAGTGCCCCCAGATTCCAAGATAGTAACCCCCAGTTCTAGGACCGTAGGGATAGGGTTGCGTGTGTACGTCAAGTTTGTAAACAGTCTTTACTCCTCCTCTCTCCCCGCCTCCACACCAGCTGAAGCCGAGTGGCCCCAGCAGTTGTATAAATATTTTACTGCGCAGGACCTTCATTTTCATTGGCAGTGTTAGGTGGTAACGTGCACGTGGGTTCTTTGGGAACTGAGGACTGGGGTTTCAGGAACAACTACCTGGACTGTGATCCCTTCATTTATATTGCATTTAATTTGCAGTCTGCCTCTTTGGGGGAAAAGGGCCCGCCTATACGGGCTCTGGCTCTTTGTATCTTCAGCCATTAATCTAGCTCCAAAACCCTTGCCCCTTTGTCTTCCTTCGCCTAGTCTTGTCGCTACTTAGGAGTCTTTCAGGAAATTTCTCACTCTGTGGAGTGGGCTGTGCCATCCTTCCGCCCCTAGTCAGTTGTCAATTTTTCTGAATTTCATCTGAGATGTGTCGCTCACCTCTTAACATCTCTACCCTAATTCTAACCCTCTTCACTTCTCTCCGCCTCTCTCCTTAGGACTGATGTCTAAGACATATTACACGGGGCTACTTCTCCAGTCTTTCTCCTCCATCCTTGCCACAGACTGCTAACTCCATTTGGCATTTAAGACTATTTACAGCGTACTCATTCAGATCCACATGCCCAGTCTCAGCTTCAGGTCATGGATCTTACACTGCTTTCTCTGTATCCCACCCCCAATCCTAGTCTTTGTTGCCTTTGTGCCTTTGAATTTACTTGGTCTTCTCACTCAGCTTCACATGCTCAAATCCTACCCTTTCTTTGCAGGTGTAATTTACATCTCTTCTTCCCCAGAAGACCTTTTCATAGTCCCCAAGGCTGAAGTCATCTCTTCCCCTCCACCTTCATAGACACTTCTGAGAGTCTCTCTTATGATGCTTAGTATGTTCTACATTGCATCAAGGTTCTTGGCATACATGCCTTCTCCCTTTCTCCTTGGCACCAGGGTCAGCATCAACTCATTTTTCTCCCATATTGGAGCTTTTTTTGTTGTATAAACTTAGTAAATATGTTTGAATAAATAGTCACCTTAACCAAGAAAAGATAACTCTTAGGCCCACCTTTGTGAATCAACAGCACAATTAATTTTGACATCATATTGATATGATTTAGTGAGCTCTTAATATGTGCCTGGCACTATAATAAGTACTTTACATATGTATTATTGCATCCAAATCCACCAAGAACCCAATCCTCAAAACAATGAATTTTACTGACAAAAAATCTGAGGCTTTGAGAGCTGAGCTGGATACTTGCCCAAAGTCTCACAGCTAGTAAGTGGCAGGGTTGGGATTTCAGCCCAGTCTCTCTGATCTGTGCACTTAACCATAGACCTAAGACAGATCCTGTGCTCCTGAAGAGAACTTCAGGGTTCTTTTCTAAAAGGCACAGGACTAAAGTCAGGTTAGACTTCCTCCCTCTGTGTCTTGGTTTCCCCATTTACCAATCAAAGGTGGCAAATCTTCACGAGCTGAGCTCCCTGGCTCTTTCCCAGGATTTGTGTCTCTGGTAGGCTTCACATGTTGTGATATGCTCTCTGATTTGTGCTCAGAGACCACCCAACTTGTGTATTGAAAACAGGCAGAGAATAAATTTATTAAACCACTTCTTTTCTGGCAACCAGCTACTCTGCCTCTTAGTCTGACCACACCTGGGCTGCCCTCATCTTAAACCAGGGGCTCAGAAATCACGTGGAGAGCTTTTAAAACATAAATGTTCGAGATCCATCCCTAGAAATTCTGAATCTGTGATTGGGGGTAATGCCCCAAATCTAATTTAAAAACAGCAACAAACAAAAGCTTCCCAGGCAACTTTAAATCTAGCTGTTTTGGGGAACCAATGTCTTAGCCTAGTGCTACTCATACTTTATCATGCGTAAGGATATCCTGGGAGCTCATTAACATTTCAATTATTGGGCCCTATCCCTAGAGATTTTGATTCGCTAGATCAGATTTGGAGTGTAGCACAATTATTTGAATTTCTAATAAGCTCCTGGATGATGCTGATGCGGATGCAGCTACTGATGTTCAGGGATTCATTACTCCTGTCAATAGAAGGATGGAAGGCATCATATTTTGTTTCCAGCATGGGAAATGGGAAAGTGGAAGAGAAGAGAGGAACTTGATTTTGCCTCATAAACACCACTCACCAACATGGCATGGGGAATATTTCAGTGTTCTTGTAATTATTGGTTTGAGTGGTTCAATCTTGAGGTACCATTTATCATTTGCAAAAACTTGGGTGTGTAGGGTAAAGAAGAAAAAGTGACTTGCAAGATGCTTAGAATGATTAGTAAGAGCAACTTTTATCCTAATGGATAGAGGCTAATACTGGCAACACCAACACAAAAACCGTTCGTGAGTTCTAACCCTTTGCAAAGTGTAGCACTGAATTATCATGGTCTCATTTACTCTGCACAGTAGCTCTTTACATTAAGTATCTTTATCCCCAACTGACAAACAAGGCAGCTTAAGCTCAGAGTGGTAAGAAACTTGCCCAACGTGGATATGTAGGTTGTGGTGCTGAAACTGGAAACTAGGGCAGTCTGGCTTCAAACCTTTGCAGGACATCACTCCCTATTTTGCAAAGGAAAGGGTTGGTGAGAGGACCATGTGCCAGTGTTACAGGTGGTACCACCTTGAATGCATTGTGACCAACATTTGCTTCCTGAGTTTGAATCAATGGGAAGACTTCAGTAGGCCAGCTTTTCCAGCTGGAGTGCATATTTGTCCCTAAGTTTCCAGGCTCTCTAAGTTTCCAAGTCTCTTTTAACAGCCTGTAGGAATGATTGGAACTTGAGCCCTAAAGAATTATTTCTTAGAGACAGATTTGGATAGCAGGTGCAATCAACTGGAGTCACATCAAGAATAAGGTACTGATACGACACTTTGGGATGCTGAGCCAGGAGTTGAAGACCAGCCTGAGTAACATATTGAGACCCCATCTCTACAAAAAGTAAAATATTTAGCTGGACATCATCACATGCACCTATAATCCCAGCTACTCAGGAGGCTGAGGTGGGGGATTGCTTGAGCCCAGGAGTTCAAGGCTGGGTGAGAGAGCAAGACCCTATTTCTAAAATAATAAGGATAGTAAATAATAAATAATTTTTAGAAAATGTTCTGATATGACCAGTGAAAATAAACCACCTCTCTGCATATGTTGCAGCATTTTTAGTCTAAACAACCCTCCTGAAAAAGAGATTGGGTAAAATGACACCATCTTTACTCTAGCTGTTCTTTTGGAAACGTTCTTTTGTTTTTTTCCTCCCAAGGGCTGAGTTATATTAAATCAACCTCTCATCTCTCTTTATTTGCAGCTGGGCACATTCCGGTCCCATGATGGGGATTATTTTATTGAACCACTACAGTCCATGGATGAACAAGAAGATGAAGAGGGACAAAACAAACCTCACATCATTTATAGGCGCAGCACCCCTCAGAGAGAACCCTCAATGGGAAGACATGCATGTGACACCTCAGGTATTTGCTTCTTGCTTAAGCAGAGAGCCCAGCTCTTGGAGATGGCTAAATTGCTATACTATGAAGATGTAGCTCTTTCAGTCTACAAAGTGCTATGTTATGCATTGTTCTTTATTCAGTCCTCAAATGAGGTAGGGATACATACCCCACTGTAGAGATGTGGAGACTAAAGAGAGGTTTAGTACCTTGTCCAAGGCGCACAGCTAAGAAGTTACAAAGTCAGGATTTGAACTCAAAGCAGTGACTCCATGCCCTCTATGGGCAGAGCTGCCTCTTCTGTTGAAATTGCTGATTTTTAGTATTAAGCTTGAGTAATATTGAGGTCATGATAGCAGTACCCTCAGTCAGCAAATGCTTGTATTTTCTTGGCGTCTTCTGTTCATTTGGGTGTTTTTCTTGTTTCACAGAAATGTCTTATAAAGGAAACTCACGAGAATGTATATGTGTTCATTTAATGTTTCCTATAAACTTCAGGTTTGCTCATGTTCTGTGACTTCAGGAACTGTAGGAAGGTACCTGTGGGTTATACTGTGAAGTACCAATCAACCAGTCAAATTCTATGTGCCCTCTGCTAGTCTCCTTCCATCCCAGCCAGATTCTTGGAGGTTATATGCTGACATCTTTGGCCATTGTCAGGGATATGTCATTCTGGGCACCCTGGTCTGTGTTTCTTCATCTGCAGTCTTGTGGCAACATTTCACTGTCTCAGATGCCTGGTTACTTTGCGCCAGGTGATAGGTTATCCTATGAAATAATTCCTCAATTTGGTCCCACATCTTAGGATACCTGACAAAATACTTAAAAAAAAATTCTTGGATTTCCTGTCTCTAAAACTTTATCCTTCTTTCTATTCTTTATTTTTAAAATTGCTTCTCCAAATTAAATAGCATCTCAGGTCTTTCTGGTATCTCCAAACAAGGCCAAAATTCAAGACCAACAGGGCATTTCCTCAGATGCTCCCCAGAGCATCACTTACGTCACCTTGTACCTGTACCAGGTTGTTCCAGTGGAACAGTATGCAGTGTCCTATTCTCTCTTGGAATTATTATTTCTAAAGTGAATCCTTTAATAAAAGATAATATTGACCATTTAAAATCTGGAAGTAGTCAAATTTAAGGGTGTAGTATTGTAGGTCTTTTGGCTTTATTCCATCCAGTTCTGTGTTTTACCACCAGAACAAGATGGAATTTAACTGAACCATTCTGTCAATTAGACTATAAAGACCAAAGATATATTAGGAGCAGAGGGGCAAGTGTGCTCAGATACATCAAAAACAATAGTTTAAGCAGCAGGTATGGAGTCAAGACTGCCAGCCACCAGCCAGTTTAATGGATAGGACATTCACATTTTTGACTGTGCTAGTAAAACCATTGGCCTAAACTTGTTGGCTTCCTAAATCTTTATTAGCAAGCATACATTTTAGATGTGTGTATTAATGTATACATAACATGAAATAGAAATGAAATTTGTGACTCCCTCCTTCCATCTTATATGTTCAGAAGACA